TTTGGGGTATACAACATGCAGAAGGGATCATAACAAAACATTGGCTGTATTCACATATAATTGTACAAAGTATTTTTAAAATAAAATTTCCATCTCAACATTTCATTATAGTTGTACAGGTAACTTGTTTTAGCAGATCAAAGAATTTGTAACTGATTAGGGAACAGAGAATAAATGATATTTAACACACATTAAGCTAAAATCAGTGAACTAGAAGTTACCTTGTTTATTTCATTCTCAGTTCCAAGATTTTAAAATTTCCATGAACAAAGTCAGCTTTAGAATTTCTCTAAATTTCTCTAAATTGCACCTTGTAGGTGCAGCTATAAGTAGTTGAATCAATCAACCAATCAATTTCAAGACAATAGGCATTTTATTGAAACATTATTAATATAAACAAGAAATCACCCATTACACAGAGCAAAGACCTATATTGCCAAGACCAAGATTCAGCTTTCCTTCAAGTAGCATATTGTAAATACACTAATTCTTGAAATAAAATTCAAAGTTCAATTACATATATTTCTAAAACAGTAATAAAATTCTAGTACTTAGAGTTGTACATTTTCTTAAAAATAAACATGCTTTTTCTTATCTTCCAATGTTTTGTAGTTTGGCATTGCAAAAGTAAATGCAGTATATTGTACTATTCTTTATACCTTCTTCATGTCATAAATGTTTCATAATAACTTTTAAAACATAAAAGTACATGTAAAATATTATGTGTGGGCCCACTACCCTATTTAAGAGAAATAATTTTACTATATTACTTTTGAGGCTCTGTTAGTCTTTTCCTATACTATTTTTCTCAATTTCCTCAGAGGTAATTATTATATTGATCTTTGTTTATCACTTCCTTGCTTTATGTTTATGACCTATGTTTATGACCCTGAATATATTGCTTATTTTTATAGGATTTTAAATTTTATATAAAGTCATGCTGTGTATAGTCTTCCAATGCTTGCTTTTGTCATTTAATATTATATTCCTAATTTTAATCCATGTTTATTGATATTTTCACTGTAATTTATCTTCACTGTTGTAGTATATTTCATTATATAAACATATTACAATATATTTATCAATTCTGCTGTTAGTGGAAATTTATGTTGCTTCTAGTATTTGTGCTACACTGCTTTGCTATACAATATTGCTATGCAGGTTCTTATATCACTCTCTTGGTGCATATGTGTATAAGGTCCACCTCGTAGCGATCATATGTCTTTATCTTTAAGAAACACTGTTACCTTGCTTTCCACAGCACTTATAATTTCATTCCATCTAAGCTGCTACCTGCAGTTTATAATTAGTTATTCCAGTTGTTCTATATCCTCACCAATACTTGAAATTGCTAAACTTTTTCATCTTTGTCCATCTGCTGGATCTCACTGTGGTTTCAACTGCATTTCTCTACTTAACAAGAAGGTTGAGCACTTTTTCATGTTTATTAGCCAGATTTCTACTTCTGTAATGTGCAACTCAAAGTCTTCAGCTCATTTTTCTATTTGATTATTTATCTTTTTCTTATGATTAAAGGCATTTGTCACATATTTTGGAAAGCACTCCTTTGTCAGTTAGAGGTATTTTAAATATCTCCCTGTTGTATTTTTCATTTTCATTATAGCGTCTTTTGATAAACAAAGCTTCTTAATTGTAATTTGTTTTTTCCCATTTTTAAATGGTTTTTGCCTTTTATATCTTGTTTAAAAGCCCTTACCAACTCTAAAGTCATAGGATTTCTTTCCTGTACTATCTCCTAACCATTTTATAGCTTTGACTTTCACATTTAACTTACCTAGAATTGATTTTGGGGTATGTTTTGTGGTAGAGGCCTACTTCCCCCTCCAAAACAAAGAACAAACTATCCCAGTACCATTTATTGATTTTTAAATGTACTCTTCCTCACTGATATACAATGCCAACCCTGGCCTAAATTGAATTTTCACATGTATGTCTGAATCTGTGGTTGCTTTCAGTTCTAAAATTTTATTCAACTGAAGGCACTAAAACTGTTTAAGATAAATCATCAATTAGTTTTAACTTCAAGAATGCTTTTTTAAAGAAGAGACACCCAATGGCAACAGCATCCTGACTTAGTACATACAATAGAGTAAAAAAAAAATTACTATACAGGATTCAAATTACGTTGATTCTAATTCCCATTCTATAACTAGCTGACAATGTACGACAGATATTCTCCAGGAGGTCATAACACTCTAAGTTGTCAAATGAATGGTACTAAGAAAAGGGTAAAAATTATCTACCTTCCTCCTATGTATACAGGTCACATGTACAAGAAAGTTCATAAAATTATACTAAATAATGCTCAAAAGATAAATAAAAACAGAGGAATAATTTATATAAACTATCATCCCAAATTTTAGTTTCATATCTATGATCTTATAAGAAAATTTTATTCTAGCATCTAAGTTATATCTACTATAGTTTGGTGCTCAAAAATACTTGTTAATGTCATGCATCACTGCTTTATGATCTTAGTATCATCTAATTAAAGATATAGTAAAAGTGAAGAGTTTTTCAAAAAGGAGCCTTCTTTTAACAGAACATTGCTAAAATTCCATATAAGAAATTTGGTCCACTACATTCTGAATAAAATATAACTCAAAAAGGATTTTCCATTAATAAAATCATCTTTAATTTAGGCATACTTATTTTATATTATTAGTACTCTTTTCTATAGCCACAGAAGTATAAAATATATCTCAATACTTTTCATCCAATATAGACACAACTCTAATTAAGTCAATTTGGAAAACATTCTAATTTTTAAAATATAAATGTCCTTGATTAAGGCTGCAAAAATGTAAATACACTTAAAATATTCATGTGTTAGTAAAATTATGATTTCCTAATGACTTATTTTTATATATAAAAAAATTTAATGCCATGTAAATTTTGTTTTAAGAAGAGTTTCTTCTTAGCATTGAGTAAATAAAGAGTATAAAGAGGAAACCTGTTATTTATTCCGTTGTTCACAATTCTGTTGATTAACTTGCTCACAAATAAATTTGCTGAGCTCTTAAAATTGATCATTTTATTTACAAATATCTTACTACTATAAATTTTTAAGATATCATTTGGAGCAAAAGCAAAGCCACAAAAAAAAAAGAAATCCTCTAACAGGAGTCATAGGTATCAATCAAGAGCTTGCCTTTATAAATGAAAAAGTACTATTAGTTTAATGATTAATTTTCTGTGATATCTGCACACATACTTATCCACAGGATTTGAATATTAGCAATGAAAATCCACAAAATTCTATAGACCTACTGCTGATATTCTCTGCTTTGGTACAAAAAATAATTAGAAATCCAATCATTAGGGACTATTTAAATGATCTCCTTTCCAAAAAATTAAGTATTCATAAAAGCTCCTCTTTTCAATAACATGAATTATAGAGGAGGGACTCTAAACCATGCAGAAAATTCATGGATCTTTCGGTTGAGAAGCCAGGAATATTATTAGTCATAATAGCTATTTTGAAAAAAGTAAATCTAACCTAATAAGATGTTCTATCAGAAGAGGCAGGAAAGGAATTTAGAGATCCCTATATTCTTTCTCTTAATGTGTGTCAATAATAACAGAAAATGTCTTTATTTTAGGCCATGGTAGTTCATTAGAAGGGTGTTAGAGAAATTGAGTACTGGAAAATAACATACTTCTGTAAAAACCCATGATACCCCACTTTTAGAAATGCCATATATAGTTCTCACCAAAGCATTCAGTCACAAATTCAACAAATATTAATTAAATACCTATATGTGCTTGGCACTATGCTAAGTACTAGGGATACAGCACTTAGTCAGAAATCCTATATTCAAGTAGCTTATTATCCAGCAAGTCTCGACTAAGAAGAGAATACAGTAATGAATAACTGATGGCAACTCAAATAAAGGGGCTCCCACAAGAATGCTAACCACAGATATTAACATTTTTCAAGACACTAAGGCAATACAGAATGAGAATGAGACATGTGTAACCTGTTTTAAAATTATTTATTCAAGATTTAGATGGGATGAATTCAGTTTTATTCAAAAATCTTTCCAGTAGTAGAATTAAAAAGATACTTTTCAAATTTGGCAACAGTTCAATGGAAGATATTAAAAGGAAGTACTATCTGTGTAAGAGAAAGAACTAATGATAAAATAGGCAGTTGTACATAAAGATGAAAATACAAATTGGTTTTAAAATGTTATAAATTAATGAATTTAATTCCATAAAAATAATTTTGTCACCATGCCATGTAGTCTAAAATAAATGGACCTTAATATACACATTTCATTCACCTACACAAGAGATTCTGCAAATGAAAGGGAATAATCACACAGCACATGCTCGAAAACCGGCTGTCTCTTTAAATCATCAGTGATTTTTGCATCGGTAAGCTATAAAGCAAGAAATTAAAACTCTAGGCCTCAACAGAAACATTCGAATTTTAAGACCTTGAAGTTGAACAAGGTCTAACTTTTATATATATTCAAATCTATACACAGCGGTATAGAAATTTGTTAAAACACAATCCTGTAACAGTTAAGTGACTTTGGTCACTACCCCACCTAATAAAACCAAGCATTACCTAGTTGTGGATTTTCTTATTTGAAATATCCTGCTATGAACAAAATCATAACATATAGATGAATTGACAGTCATCTTTCACTAAAAGTCTAACAATGTAGGGCAACCCCTTCGAGTCTCCTCTCACTGTGGGAGCTTTTCTGTCTTCTCAATAAATCCTGCTTTCAAAAAAAAAAAAAAAAAAAAAAAGGCTAACTGTGTAACTATGTAAATGTAGTATTGTCCAATTACAAAGTATATAGTTTAATATTTTAGATCTTCATCTGATTATCTTCTGGTAATAAGATGAATATATTCTGGCATTAATTCTCTATTTTCATAATCTTAGAAAACAGTCACCTCTAATCAGGAACTGAAAGGATGAGAGAAAAAAAGCTAAACTAAATCATTAATAACATATTTACCGGTTTGATTCGAAGCTGACCATCCACCACCTCAAGAATGGCATGTCTTCTGGATACTCTCTTGTCTGTTATCTATAGTGGAAAAAAATTTAAATTTCAAGCATTGCCACCTTCCTAAAAAACAAAACAAACAAGCAAACAAAATTCTTGGGAATGCTTCTGAAACCAGTAGGCTAAATCTGAAACATATTATTCATTCAACAACTGTATATTGAAATGACTGTCCTCATTTAATAGATAATGAAACTCAGAAATTAAGAGACCTGTCCAAAGTTAAGGAAGCGTCAACAGCAGAGCCAAGACACAGTCTTGGCATCTAACAGATCCCAAAACCTTACACGATAGGTTCCATTCATGAAAAATATGTACTGGGGATTCTTACCAATAAAATTCATTAAAATTTCTATACAATGTGTATTTACTAGAAAACATTTCAAATACAAGAACTATATAGTATGTTACAATGAAAAAAGTTTTAAAAGGAGGCAGTCTGGCAAGGTAAAGTGTCTGACTATAGACTTTAGTGTCAAGCAGACTCAAATAGGGCAGAACTGAATTTAACCCTAGGGTCATCAGCAGCAGTTAAGAGATCAGAAAGGCCAGGGAGCGGGGAAAGTACAAAAGAAGTATTTGTCATAAGGAAGAAAGCAGCATCTATTTCTTTCATGTGTTTGCTTCCTGTTTTGAGCAAACAATGTTCTACTTGTAATCGTTTCTGCATACCAAATTTCAAAAATTGTTTGCACTTTAAATGCTGACCATGCTAACCAAGACTTCTCCTTTTGTTTAACAACAGTTAAGATTACCTTTTTTATTTGTGTCTGATAATGAAAACATGTTAAGCATCAACTTCACTTAACATCATAATGACTGAACCCATCTCCTGGTTACCTTGGTACCTAGCACTCGAATTCTGGCATTATCTACATCAGGGGACCAAAATTATCAGTAAAAATAGATGATGGCAACACATAATTCAACTAAGCCCATCAGTTCTACATAAAATGTGAAACTGCCAGCAATCAGGACTCATTTTTTTTAAACCAGAAAGCAGTTCCACTTAAAGCTGTGACTATATACAAATAGTAACATCAAGCATCAGAATGAGTGCCACATCAATGAATTTTCCACAAAATAAAGTTAATCTCAGAACATCTTCTAAATAAAATATTCTAAATTAGCTCATTTTAAACTATATCTATTGTTAATCACAATGGTTATTTCAAAGGAGTACATATAAACTAATAATCTATTCTATCAGGAAAAAGAGGCTAGAAATTTAAAGATCCTTTTATTTTTCCCCAGAAGTGAACTAAAAAAACCCAGCAGTTATCTAATAACTCTTCACTATTTGCACAGAACATACACTTAAAAATGTTCACATTCAATCATAATACTGCTATAGCTATTATTCACACACATATTTAGAAATTGAAAGCCCAGAGAATTTAAGTAACTTGGATAAGTTACTCTTTGAGTTGGCAATACCCCAAACCCACACTAATATTAAGAAAAATAGATAATATGTGAGCAAAACATTCATACATGACTATACCTACTCGTAATTATTCAAAAGTAATTTTAAGAAATGCAAAATGACTGGGAGTAAGAAGTTCCTATTTCTGATTTGGGTACCAAAATCTCATTGTTTACTTCAGTAATACAAACTGATTTTCTAACCAATGGAGTAATAAGCTGTCAAATACAAAACCATGACATAAAATGATGGTCCCTTTAATACTCCATCTTACATTTCTTTCTTTCCTTTTTTAAACTTTATTTTTGCAGGAAGCAATAAAGGATGTTTTCTATCTCAGTCTTTCTTTGTTTTTGCTTTTGTTTTTAGATTACAAAATATAAAAGGCCTAGAAGTGATTTAGTCTTTCTTTGAAGTTTCACTGACACTAAAAAGAAAAAAAAAAATTAAGTACAATGCGACCTCTAGTGGACAAGTTTCCAAAACTGAAATTTCATTACAAGTTATTTGGTATTTTATAATACTTCCAAAAATGTGCTTTGGTATTCTTTTTTTTTTTTTTTTTTGAGTTGGAGTCTCACTCTGTCGCCCAGACTGGAGTGCAGTGGCCGCTCCCGGTCACCGCAGCCTCGACCTGCTGGGCTCCGGCGATTCTTCCATCTCAGCCTTCCGAGTAGCTGGAATTACAGGCATGCGCTACCACGCCCGGCTGATTTTTTGATTTGTTGTAGAGATGAGGTCTCGCTGCCCAGGCGGGTCTCGAACCCGCGGGCTTAGGCCATCCACTCACCTCAGCCTCCCAAAGGCGCGGGATTACAGGCTGAGACACTGAGCCCAGCTTGGTATTCTATAAGAATTTTTTTTTTTTAAGTGCTTTAAGGGATCTTTGAAATTAACATCACTCAGACATTTAGTTCTGATATCCCTTTTAAACCAAACCTTTAAATAGTAAGTTACAAAATAACTTTTTATGCTTTCTCAATGGAAAGCTTAAAGATTTAATACATTATCATTAAAACATTAAAAATTGCAGGATGGAGTATGAAGAAAGAAATGGGAGAGCAGGTGACATATAAATTACCCTAAAGATCTGACAACTTGCTTTATTTAATAGCCTATTACCACTTCTTGTTCAGAGTGAATATTCAATACACTTTTATCAATTAACATATCAACTTCAATAGTAATCATTTATCAAGACCAAGGCACCATTTTATAATTTTTCTGTATCATCTTTTTCAGTCTTCCCAAAACCTGTGGAAAGGATACTATTATCTTTTTTATAGGTGAGATAATGAAAGTGCAGAGGTTAAGAACAGTTACAAGCCGGGCTCGGTGGCTCAGCCTGTAATCCCGCGCTTTGGGAGGCTGAGGTGAGTGGATTGCCTGAGCTCGTGGGTTCAAGACCCGCCTGGGCAACTTGGTGAGACCTCATCTCTACAATAAATCAAAAAAAAATAACCGGGCGTGGTAGTGCGCACCTGTAGTTCCAGCTACTTAGAAGGCTGAGGCGGAAGGATCACAGGAGCCCAGCAGGTTGAGGCTGCGGTGGCCAGGAGCAGCCACTGCCCTCCAGCCTGGGCGACAGAGTGAGACTCCAACTCCAAAAAAAAAAGAACAGTTACACAGCTAGTGAGTAATGGGGCCAAGATTTGAACCCAAGGAATCAGATTCCAGAGCTACCCTTGCTCTTAACACTGTATTGCTTCCCTCAACATCATTACATAAAACCTAAAGTAAAACCTAATTTTTTAAAGATTATTTACCCTAAACTATAAGATAGTAAAGAACTAGAAATGAGGCAGAAGTGGCTTTTTTAACCAAACAGACATTCTGGGAAGATTCAGCCCTCAAATAAAGTTCCAAGAAGGTTTCATTTGGTCCTGTTTATTCTAATGTCATACCAAGTTCTAAAGATATGTTGTTCAAATACCCAATTCTTTAGTCCCAGCAGATAATAAAGTAGATAGGATTTGGTAAGCAGCACATTGACAATGGGAGAAAATAACTGAAGTTGGTCTGCTAGTAGAAAGAGAAAGACTATTAAAAGCAAGAAACCCAAGGGCTCAAAAAGAATGCACTGGCTAGAGGCCATTTAGGGTAGAGACAAATATACCACATGGCACAACATGCTTCAAAATATTGAGGTGCTGAGGTGAAGGAAGACACTTGGAAGAGAGAATAAATCCAACTACACAGACTATGGCTTCTAAATACCATTCCCACTAAAAGAAAGCAGAGTGCTTTTGAAAAATGGCTAACTCCAAGTCTGGGACAGAAAAAGTATAATGTGGATCTAGAACATCTTATTATGCCAGAAGAAAAGAAAATGCTCCAAAATTGAAGGGCTCATGCCAGAAGGATAGCGACACCAGAGTGAAAAAAAGTCACTGACCAAATTTGGAACAAGTTGGGCATCAAAATGAATAATGATAATAATGGAATATGGCACACTAAATACTAACATAACCCATGAGTTCATACCAAACTCAACAAAGGAGAAAAGACTAGGAGAAAAGCTTTTCTTTATAAAAGAATGCCAGCTAAAGAATAAGAAATGATAGGACCAGAAAATTCACTATTTTGCAACTACCAATGTAATACTTAAAAAGAATCAAGGGATGTTAACTTTCGAGAGAAGTCTTGTTAGAAAAAAAAATTCAAGGAGTTTCAAGTACCACTTCACAGATTGGATATAAAAAAAATATGTTAACTGGGAAATCTGGCAGACACCACCTTACTCAAGTGATCACACTTACCATAGCACTAACAACAGGGCAAACTGATAAATACATATCCTGACATGATGCTCTGAGTTCACATCACCTATTTAACATTCTTGCCAAAAATGTTTACTTGAATCAAATTATGTGCAAACAGACAAATAAAAATTGTATGACGTGCTATAAAACAACTGGCCTGGACTTACAAAAGCATTGATGGCATGAAAGATGAAAGGCAGGAGAACTACTGTAGATTAAAGGAGTTAATACTTAAATGGATGTGGAATTTTTTTTAAATGACATTATTGGAAAAGGCAGGTAGAACTGAATATGGAATATTAAAATTTATTATGCAGTTACAAATTTCTAGAGTGTAATAATGAATACTGTTCTGTAGAAATGTCCTTATTCTGACGTGACACATGGTCACACATTTAGGGATTTAGTGCCATAATGTATGCAGTATATTCCCAAAGGTGTTCAGTAGAAAGAGAAAAATATATACAAGGGGGACATCCCCTCAAAATGGAATTTATTTATTAAAAACAGTGTACTTATTCTTACGTGTTTAAACTTTAGTCACCTTCAAAGTACTCTTTGATGCAAAACACTTATTGAGATGCTCTTTCCACTGCTCACAACCATTTCTGAACTCATCAATTTTGATGCCTTTTAGTGTGTTGGTTTTTGTTTCACCTCTTCAACATCGGCAAAACATTTCCCTTTGAGGACTTTTATCATTCAAGGAAAGTAAAAAAAAGTTGCCCAGGTCAAGATCAGCTAAATAGGAAGTATAGAGTATGAGAATCATGCTGTTTTTGGTCAAAAACTGCTAAACACTCAGCACAGCATGGACAGGTGTACTTCAAATT